GAAGTAGTGTTCTAAATCCTCTCTCTTCTTATATCCATAGAAAAAAAGTAGGTTCATTTCGTAATTTTTGTCTTTGTTTCCCAAGGAAATGAGGGTTATATAATGAAACAGTTTGCTTCCTGCCCCATCCTTCTATTGCTTACAAATTCACTGGCTAATTTAAGCCAAAATTGACAGAAAGTTTTAAGAACTTAATACTTTTAGGATTCTATGTTTCATAAAAAATCAGCAATCAAATACGACATAAACACAGACCCCATCAAACACAGGGACAGCCAAACAGCTGAGAAATCCACGCACAGCACACACAGCTGCAGCTGCCTGCTCCCAACCAAACAGCTGGCAGATGAGGAAAGAGAGGGAGGACAATCTTGTCAGAAACATCAGAGAGCTCAGGATACTTCAGAGACACTCAGGAGGTATTCACAAGCCTAGATACATGACGAGGACCTTGGCATACTACATCCGGAACAGCAAGTGTTACACTAGTAGAATCACAGGGGAAAAATATGGGAAGCCATGTTCATTAGTCTCATTACTCTAGCAATAACTTATTAGATGACAGCACCACCCTGTAATTCTTTCTTCTCTAGTAGATTCCTTTTACCTGTACGGCTCATTATTCTCTTTAATACTACTTCTCAGTTCTTAACACCAAACTCCTCACAATGAAAACCATAGGAAAGAGTTTAAATTCAAAAAGAATTAACTCCATCTGAAAAGGTTCATCTCTAAATGTATTCCCCTCCTTGAGAGATGTACACTTTTGTATAGCCTATACCATGTTAAAGCACATTCAAGTGCAGCCCAAGAACCTGGTAAAAGTAAATTCATAAGGATATGCAAGATGTGCAATTCTGCCTTAGGTTACAAAGCATCCCACTGCGACCTTTACATTTCTTTTCCCTCCTTCATGCAACACAATGTGATTTCTGCTGCTAGCTCCTCACCCAGACCTCAATTCAACAGAACTCTTAAGGCAGGTGCCAAAGTTTTGCTATTGCTCAAAAAAGGAAAAGCAGCTTAAAGAAATCAAATTAATGCTGCCATGAGAAACATTACCATGGCAATCCTGAAGGATTCTCAGAAGTGACTCCTCAACACTCTCTCTTCCCAATCCCAGCAAACCATCACAAGACCCGAGGCCTGGGCACCTGCAGGTGAGAGAATCTTAAATCTCAGACTGCCTGCCAGTCTGGGCTTACTACTGCTTTCAGTTTGGCCTTACTCTCTACCATATTTGCAATCCTCCCCATTCTGATACTCTCTGCATTAGATTAATTTAACCTTTCCCTATGAAAAAGTGGAAATATTAAGCAATAAAAAACTTTGCATCATAAAATAGAGCTCCTACTTAATACTAAGACTGATTTTGTTTTGGAAGAGAAATATACTGAAATAACTGTAAATACAAGTCTCTCAACTCATTTGAGCCAAAAGTTTTCCAGTTGGGTTACCCTCTGCTGTTTCCTAGCAAATCCAAGATTGCCCGACCTATGCTAACTATATATCTGATGTCTTTATAAAGATATAAAAAAGAACATGTTTTACCATGACATTAACTTTATAAAGAAAAAGATGTAACTGTTCCCTCAATCACTAAATTAGGGCTTTGAACTTGATCACATGAAGGATACTTCTCTTTTAAAAGTCTGTCAGTGATCATAATGCAAAAAAGTAACAAAGCATTGTCACTGAACAAAATGACAATGGTCATTCGCCATGGCCAATGGCTCCCTGGTTCTATATAACACTTGATACAAAAGCCTCACTTTTAAAAAAATTTGGGGTTTTAGTGTTAGAATCAACGTAAACTGGTACCTTTTCCAGTGTTGCTTTGTCAGCATACTTACAGATTTTTTAAGAACAACCAAAAGCACTTAATTTCTTGCAGCTAACAAATCCTATTTTAATTTGAGCTCTTTTAATTTTGCACACTCTTCACATATAACTGTATATGTCCTGCTTTGAAGGAGTTTTGAGCTATTTTATATTTATTCTTCAATCAGAAATTTTCAGTCTTGCTTATTTCCCATGCCTTTACCAAAAAAAACCTGGACAACTGCAGTGTCTTTAAAACAGAGCAAAGTATTTTCTCTGTTTACTTAATTAAATACATTTACAAATTTACATGGACACAATGTAAATTCTGTATTTTGACACTTTACACAGGAAGCCCTGTGGTTTGATCCTGACTTCAAGAGTTAGTATTCGCCCAAATCAAACTCATATTTTTAAACACTGCTGGCCAGGAAATAGTACTGCTAAACAGTCAAGGCAAGGTACTGTTGCATAAACAGGAGGGAGAGAACACCAAGATGAGGAATAAAAATTGTAACACCTACTAACAAATCTACAGCATTCAGCTATTCAGTTGAAAACAAAGAGGATGCTGCATACCGGCTACAGATTACAGCAGAAAAATAGATTGCATTTTCTGTCTTTGGGAAGAGTACTAAATCAAAACCTAGCAGATCGCTTTCATGATTGGATTTTTCTTTTATGCTGCCTCACATTTAACTGTAAACTATGCACCCAATTTTCTCAAGAGCTTCAGTCCCATTTTGGCAATTTCACAGAAGTATCCACAAGACGGGCTATTTCTAAAGTCTGGCCCTAATGAGAAGTGTTGCATTCTTTTCAAAGGCTAGATTGCTTAATTCATTCATGAGTATTTGCTTTAAGAAGTAATGCCCTAAATCCTCTGAAAATATTAAACATGAACTTCACATTATGTGAATATTTTCAGATCTAACAAATTCTCACAGATTTCTGGGATAACGCAGCCTAAAATGAAAACAGAGACAGATTTTGAAGGACTGATGTATTTTTTTTTCCCAAGCTTGAGTTACGTAAAAAGTCCAGACCCAGCAGAAATTTTTGCTATCTTCTTGATAATATTAAGAGGGCTTTTCAGCAGAAAAGAACCTAGCCAACTTAAAGCTGGCCAGCTTAGACTCCTGGTGTGCACAGCTTCCAAGACAGGGTGAACACGCAGCTTTGCTTGCGCAGTGCAACTTCTTACAGAGGCCTGAATTACTAATTCAAGGAAACCGACAGCACAGAAGCATCCCACATGCAAAACAAACCAGAACAATTTGGGTTTTGCCCCTCACTGTTTTCCTGAATTCTTTAAGTTACAACAACAGATGCTTTCAGAAAGAAACACCAGGGTCGAGGAAGCAGCATACCTTAGGACCTTCTTTTGCTGGAAATAAAGTTCTGGGATCTATTATTTTTGTTAAAAGTATTTTTAACGAGGTGTAAAGTTACTCTCCGAATTGAGGGAAGGTTTCAAAAAAAAGCTCGGAAGCCCTGCCTTTTAAGATGATCACCTCCAAACAAACCCAACAAGTGTCTAGTACATCTCGCTCCTCTGTTGTTGTTGTTAAGTGATGACTAGAAAGATCTGCGGACGCAGGCTTCTGTGCAGCCTGTTAGCTCTCAGCAGCCGGGCCACCGGCAGGGCGCAGGGAACCTCCCTCGCCTGGGGAATCAGTTTTCAGAGACTTCAGGGCCGGGAGGGACGATTACTTTTAAAGCAGTTGCCAAAGTCTCTCCGGGGAGGACGGATAAGGCTGCGCACGTTCAGCGGCTGACATTTACAACCAGGGTGCGGGCTGTTCTGACACACCCCCTCGCTCCGGCGGTCTCGGACCCGGCGG